AAAAAAAAAAAAAAAAAAAAAAAAAAAAAAAAAAAAAAAAAAAAAAAAAAAAAAAAGTAAGTAAGTCTAGGTAAATAATACTTGGTTATAACGTGAATTCGTTTACTTACTGTCGTTTGGCTCGACTTATTGTCTACAAAAATCTTTTGCTCGCTTTTTGTTAGAAAACACAAAAAGCTATATCTCATACATGAGTTTATAATACATATATATAAACTAATATATTCATATACTAATTTTTATAATACATGTATTTATGTAGTGTATGAAAAATCTAGGATATTTTTGTAGTAAATAGAGTAGTAATAGCGTGCGTGAAAATAATGATAATTGGTCAAGAAGTGTACAGTGAAAAATCTTTTCCCGAAACGTACCGTGTTTGTATAAAGTTGTGCGAGTAAGTTAAATATGCCATCTCGTTTTTTAACGATCCAACTTACTTAGACAACAAGCAGTAATTAGTATGATTGTTAAGTAAACTACTTATCGCTATTAGTATTAGTCGTAAACATGAAGCTATGTATTAATTCAATTGCTGATCTGAAAATCGTCATCCTTTATATATATTTATAAAATAAAAGAAAAAAATACAAATAGGAACACATAATTCTCCTAAAGAAAGTTTGCCCAGTCTTTTTCCACTTTACAATGAGTAAACAAATTTATGAGCAAAGTAAATAAATAAATCTACTTACTAACAAGAGTGTCATTTTATGGGAACAAACCTGTATCGACTCATTTTTGCAACAAAAAAAAAAATCAAAGAATAATCACCCACTCTTATGAGTCCACTGACGTCACGTCCAGACTCGTGGTTTAGCCACATACAAATGACCTGATGATGAAAGAAACGACAGACCACATTACAACATAAAAAAGCATGTGTGCACAAATTCAAAAAATTGTATAAACATGACTTTTTTTTTGAAACAAAACAAAAAAAAAAAAAAAAAGAAAGAAAGAAAAAAACGATGGTTAACTATCTTACTTGTTACAAAAGTCACCCTCACTGCCACTAATTATCTGGATAAAAGGGAGGTGAAAGTATCACTGTTGCTAGATACATACATGTAAGCAAAAAAGGTAGGTACCTGTGATTTCATTTAAAAAGTGCCACGCTCTAGACTCTCGACAAACAAACTTGAGGTATAGAACCATCACAGCGGAAAATGGTACACCAATTCTCGTAATGAAGATCAGTCGATGAGAACAAAAATATAGTAATTTATAAAAAGTAAGGGAGCAACGGGAAAAACATTTTTCCTTTGCTTGTAATCAATAAGGTACAAAAATACACGGAGAGCTTCGTATCGTGCCCAAAAAGCGCTTACAACTACTCTTATAGTCACAACACCAGGAATTATCAAGCTACCAGTTATAGAAAGTGTAAAAACAGAATGAAGACAGACAGTGGAAAAAAAATATAGTCGTACAAAGAAAAACCAAATTAATCCAGATTAATGAATGGATGTAAAAGATACATATATATGTACGTACGTACGTGTATATGTATTTCACGTTGTTTAAGTATAGTTAAAATGAAAGGATGAACGAAAGATTGATGTAACAAATGAAAAATTAAATTGGTTAATAAGTTATATCAGATGTGTAAATTAGTATTGTAATGACAAATGCAGCAGTCAAATAAAATGAGCATAGGTCGAGCAACAGTGAGTGAAAAAAAAAAGTTGTTAGCATTAATAAATTTAGATAATTTAAGGGTTACGAATGATTAATAAGCAAAAAATAATCAATATTTGGCAAAACATCAAAACAAAAATTATTGAAAAATATTAATAAGTCGCTCGATAAATTATTTTCGTACCAGAGAAGTAAATAAATTATTAAATAATTATTATCAATGCGGCAAACTATTAGGATGATGATATTAAAAAAAAAAAAAAAAAATTGATGATTTAGAAGTAATGAATGGTAATGAAAATGATATTAACAGTGGTAATAGTAGTAATACAATAATCATATGAGATATACATAGGCCATTTCACCTCATGCTAGTTGCTAAGGACCAACCTTGTTGTACTTGTCTAAAACACGGGTTTTAGTAACCAGAGACTGGGTTCGACACTCATCAAGGAGTGACAGGTCGCCCTGCAAACGCACCGTTAAAAACGTAAAAAGTTTTTCAAAAAAACTTTCTGCTTAGGATGGTCGGGTTTAAAATCGATGATTAAGTATTGATTTTTTTAAAAAGATTTTTGATTACTTATGGTAGTACAAATTATATGAGTCCCTAACATGCACGTACACCATGTTGGAAAAGAGGTTTATTATATTATATTTAATGAGAT